ATTTTTGCTGGATGTTTGTGAGTTGTGCTGCGCGCTCGTTTGACCTTTTGCAGTTGTGAGTGCTGTAAAACTCTTAGTTGCTCCCCGGGGCAATGCTACTGACGGAAGTGTCTTTAGGCCATTCCCAAAGGGGGGGATATGAACCATGTTCTTATGCTCAGTAGAATTGTAAATGGGCTGATTTATCAACGTCATACTCATACTGTGCCTGAACTGCATACGGGGAACTGCTGCTTTTTCTTTCCTAATTCTTACTATTGTCATTTTCCTCTACTTCTTTTGTATGTTTGTCACTCTCTTGTGACCCGCTATTTCCGGGGTGCCTTGATAGTCGAAGCAGACTTTGTGCTGTTGAAGCGAGAGAGGTGAGCAGAGTAAGCCTGATTCCCTGTATGGACTTCTCTGTTGACACCCACCCCTTGGCTCTCATATGACCTTATGCAGTTGGGAGCGCCGTAAAAAACTCTGCTAAATATAAAAAGCTCCTTGTAAACTGTCAGTTACGTAGACAATGTGGCAGCATGATGGCAGCTGTTCTGGTTTCAGACAAAGCAAAACAGGAGGAAGAAAAATTGTTTGGAATTTGTGCGGACCTGGCCCCTCACAGGTTTCTGCTCTTTTTCTCTCTCTCTCTCTCTGACTCTCTCTCTCTCTCTGACTTTCTCTCTGTCTCTCTCTGACTCTCTCTCTCTCTCTGTCTCTCTCTCTCTCTCTCTCTGACTGTCTCTGTCTCTCTCTCTCTCCCTGACTCTCTCTCTGACTCTCTCTGTCTCTGTCTCTCTTTCTCTCTCTCTGACTCTCTCCTCACCTGGAATGTTAAGAATGACATGCAGGATTGATTTTGAAACGAGAGTGTTCTTTGGTCTGTATGTATGTTTGTTTGTTTGTTTTTACATGAGTTGACTGTGGGCTATTGGGGTAGTCTGCTCCATGTGGGTGGTTGGCGGGTGCTCTGGTGTGGTTTGCTCCTTCTTTCCTATCAAACATCTATTGTCCTTATCTCCCCTTCTTCTTTTTTATGTTTGTTACTCTCTTGTAACACCTCTAATCTTTTGGCGCTCATATGACCTTATGCAGTTGTGAGCGCCGTAAAACCTCTACTAAAACTAAACTTAAGTCTGCTCCATCAACGTTTTACTTGTGTTGCTATTTTTAAATCATCTCTGGTGAGGAAGTAGTAGTACAAACGACCACCTCCCATTTCCTACCGAGCATATTTTTCAACATGATAATGACACTGTGTAAGATGTTCTCCTGTCTAAGACTATCACTTTTGTGGATGTTTGGCGGGCGCTCTGGTGTGGTTTGCTCCTTCTTTCCTGTCAAACAACTATCGTCCTGATCTCTCCTCCTTCTTTTTGGTGTTTGTTACTCTCTTGTAACACCTTTAATCATCGGCACTTATATGACCTTATTATGTTGCAAGTGACGTAAAACTCTTACTAAAACTGAAACTTCTTCTCTTCAGGAAAGCTGTTGATCTGGGCAGTGAGGATGAGGCGGCTTTTCTGTACACAGACTTTGACGGCAAATACAGGTATGTCTGTTGGGGGTTGGTGGGTGCTCTGGTGTGATGTGCTCCTCGTTTCCTATCAGACATCTGTCGTCCTTATTTCGCCTCCTTCTTTTGCGTTTTGTTACTCTCTTGTAACTCCTCTAATCTTCGGCACTTATATATTTGACCTAATTGTGTTGCATTTGCCGTAAAACTCTTGGTAAACAAAACAAATTTGAGTGAGTATGTCCGTCTGTGTGCTGGGATGGTGTTGTATCCCACTCAGCCAGGTTGGCCCTGACAGGCAGTGTTGGAGTAGCCTGCCTCCTAAATGGTCTAAACTGTGTCAAGAGAGGGGTAAAAGATGTACCATTAAGTAAACATAAGAGTGTGAAGAAATGGAAATTGATTGGACACACCCTGAGGAGACCCCCGACAAGCATCATCAGACAGGCTTTAACGTGGAACCCACAAGGAAAACGTAAGAAGGGAAGACCTAAGATGACATGGAGGCCAGCGGTACAAGCGGAAATTGAAAAAACGGGGACATCATGGAAACAGCTAGAAAAGGATGCTCAGGACAGGCTTCGCTGGAGTAATGTTGTTGATGGCCTGTGCTCCACTGGGAGTTAAAAAGGGAAAGAGAGAGAGAAACATAAGAGTATGTTCCCTCAAATAAAAACATCAGTCAGAAGTAAAAGACCTAGGCTTCTGATCTGTAATAAAGAAAGATACAGAAGGTCATTATTACCATCATCTATCAAAATGCTTCCATCTTAACCATCTTGTATAAGTGTACTTACGACCTTAGAGCATGCATCAAAATAACATTGAGTGTGTATCTAGCTTATGATTATTATTGTTTATATTACTGCTCATTTATATTATGCATGTGATTGTAAGCCTACTACTTGTGTATGCACGTGTGTGCGTGTGTGTTTGTGTGTGTGTGTGTGTGTGTGTATGTGTGTGGGTGTGTGTGTACACGTGGTGGAACACCAAACCAATTTGCCAGGATCTGGACAATAAAGATGTATCTTATCTTATCTTATCTTATCTTATCTTATCTTATCTTATCTTATCTTATGTGGAATATGTAAGTCTCATTCAATGTTCCCCATCTACTTTCAGCATTATTTTTGTTATGCTTGCTATGATATAACAAGGTATACTTTTAAAAATCCCCCAGTGAAAGAAATTAAAGAGAGAACTTTTAGTAGCTTCTGTGGAGTAAAATATACAAAATGTACAAAATATACAAAATGTACAAAATATACAAAATATACAAAATGTACAAAATATACAAAATGTACAAAATATACAAAATATACAAAATGTACAAAATATACAAAATGTACAAAATATACAAAATGTACAAAATGTACAAAATGTACAAAATATACAAAATGTACAAAATGTACAAAATGTACAAAATATACAAATTGTACAAAATGTACAAAATATGCAAAATGTACATACATGTATATATATATATATCATTATCACCCCCTCCTCCATACATATTACATCTCTGTCTGTCTGTGTGTCTGTCTGTCTGTCTCTCTCTCTCTCTCTCTCTCTCTCTCTCTCTCTCTCTCTCTCTTTCACTGATTTCTTTGTATGTGATTGTAAATGGGCTGATTCATCAATGTCATGCTCATAACTGTGCCTGATCTACAACAGGGAACTGCTGCTTTTTCTTTCCTAATCCTTACTATCGTCATTTTTCCTCTACTTCTTTTGTATGTTTGTCACTCTCTTGTGACCCACTATTTCTGGGGTGCCTTGAAAGTCGAAACAGACTTTGTGCTGTTGAAGCTAGAGAGGTGAGCAGAGTTAGCCTGATTCCCTGTAAGGACTTCTCTGTTGACATCCACCCCTTGGGGCTCATATGACCTTATGCAGTCGCGAGCGCCGTAAAACTCTCTACTATAAACCCCCCCCCCCCCCAAAAAAACACCTTATTAAAACTTTGTAAAAAGACAGTGTTGAGAGTTGTTTTGTTTTCCCCAGGACGGAGAATCTGACGACATCTGTGGTGCAGGAGTGGTATCTGGAGAGAGCCGTGGAGATAGAGAGAAGGTCGCGTCTGGTGGACTTGGCTATTGAGCTGGTCAAGCGCTGGGGGCAACAAAAATATATGGAGTACAGTAGGGAAGTGTGTCTAGAGACAATAAAGAGAGTTTGTTAGGTTACTCGATTGACAGCATTTGAGAAGAAACATATTCTGAGAGGACATGGGGATTGACGAATGAAGCATAATAAGACATCGCTGTAAATTGAGAACGGTTTTCAAGACGATCGGAGAAAACATGAACGCATTGCTATCCTTTGATCCATGATAGCATTGCAAGCTGAGGGATTGAGTAGTGAATATGCAGATCTGCTTTAAAGAATGCGGAAAGGTGAGAAATAACGATGTCCTTAGAGCAGACATCGTCTCGAGCGGACAAGGCGGGGGGCTCACC